TTCATGTGTGGTTCGAACGACCTCCCTCGTAGGTAACACTTGTGTAGAGACAGTGTTTACCACCAATATTTCTACGTAAGTCACAAAGATGAAAGTTTAGCAAAACCACGTCAGATTCATCGCTGCTTCGAAACACGAAAATATGAGATGCATTCAAAGATATCAGTGTACTCCAAAGGGTTACAAACTAGGAGATGAAATAAACTGAACCAGTGATTGGAATATTGACAATATTACCTGATAAAAGCTTATGAGAAGTCAGAAAAAATTGTCGCTCCAAGAAATACTGAAATCCTTCACGTTCTTCAATTGCAACACAATTCTTACACCCCTCATTCTAAGGCTATAACTTCCTTCATAATAGAGCTTTTGCGCCGAACTGATTTGAATTTGGAAAATTCAAATTATTCTCTCTCTCCAATCACGGGTAAAAATTCTTCAAAGCTTAATTTTATAAAAATTTAATACGTTATTACTTTTCCCTAAGCAAATGCGACCTTTTTACCCTCTAAACTTACGAGCACCGAGACGCTCCTGAAAAGTCAGCAGTTCAATTTGGTCCCGTTGTTACTTTTTTGGGGGGTTTGTGTTACTATTTTTCTCCAACCGCGACTTTTTTTACCTTTAAACGATCATAACTTTGTTCAACTTCATTCATTTGGGAATCTAAACACGGTATGGCAAACTAGAGGATTCAAGCTTTCTTAAGAGCACCGAGACGTTCCTGAAAATTTAGCAGTTCAAAACTTAGTTCTGTTGTTACTTTTTTTGAGGGGTATTCTTCGAGCGATTTTCTCGAAAACGCGGGTTTTCTTAGGTTTCGCCCTTAACTTCTTGGAAGACCAATGTGATGTTAACTTAGGAAGTGCTAGAAGCTTCGAGCATGCGCTTGCACTACATCCTTTGCCTTGTGCGCGCCACGCCTCGGGCGCCCTTCTAATTCGCTCATTCATTTGAAAGCTCATTTAGAGGGAAGCGTTGTTTATAGATGCTCTATATCAATCATCTTACGAAAACGTAACGAGCTGGCTATTATCCGATTACCAAGAATTCCCCTGCCGGCCACCGTGAGAGTACGACCCACCCCCCTCCAAGCTCAACTGACTACGACCCACACATTGTTACCCGTAACAACGTAGGGTGACCCTGGTCTAGGGTCTCAATAACTGCACAACGGCCGATTCAACTACGCCCACTTCTAAGCCGTGCAGCCCCTTTCTAGCGGCTTTCCAAAGAGAGTTTTTTGTTCAGTCACACTTCTTATGTTCATGACTAAGGGTATTGTATCGTCCCACACCATTGGTGTCGAAGGTAAAAATCCTGTTGGGTCTGTTGCTTTGAATGGTATGGTGACCCCTCCGTGATTCGTTTTCTGAAGCGCTTCAGTTTATCGCTTCAAATTCCATGTAATTAAATCCCTACTTCTTTCGTCGTAGAACCATCATGATCATGTCAGTGTTTAGAATTTTTGACTGTTCTTCTTGAATGTTTGTCGAAAACGCTACGGATAGGATCTGGTGGATTGAGAAGGCATTTCTCAGAGTTTGGGAACTATATTCACTCTACAAAAGACACATCGAATAAACCTTTATGCAATGTTTCGTGATGATTCTTGGTTGACTTTTATGTCACGAATTTCTTGATGATTAGTATCAGACTAATTCTCATACTTTTACCATAGGGCAGATAGGCATAGATAGGTATGAGGGCTGAAAAATTTATCTCCATTTGAGTGTTCTTGAACGACCATATAAATCGATTACTATTCGAAGCGAGATCAGGATGGACAGTTTCTTCATTAACGACATTTGCATGGGAACTCGGTCTTTTTTGAGCTTTTCTGTAGCAACGTAGGTTGTCTAACAACGTCAACAATGCGTACTTGGTTCTGAGATAAGTATAGAGTTCGTGGTGATGTAGTGACAAGTGGCGCGCTCACCACACGAGCGGTCCGGATATCAAATCCTGGGTCGTGAGTCGCCCGGGCCATCCCCCGGGGTCGGTCAATTGGTACCAGACTTGTCTGGGAGGATAAAAACACTAAACTTGTACATCGGCTGGCCCCCGCAAGTCATTGTATAGGCCACATCGCGTTCAAATGCCACTACGAATGTACAAATGGAAGTAGAATGCGTGTCGCATCCCAAAAAGGGATTGATCAACGGCGAATGCTTTCATGTTTTATCGAGTTCGTTGAGTGTTTCAATATGTTTAGTCAATCAAAATGTGGTATTCTTGCAGGAATTCTTCGAAGCGTGCCGGCGAGGTGATATCGAGAAAGTGAAAAACTATATCGCTGGCAAAAAGGGTAAAAAACCCCGCACTCCGCTCAAGTATGTTTTCTTTGTCATACATGATTTCGTATTTCCACGAGGTATCGATGTGGTGAATAAACACCACCGCAACAAAAAACAGAAGAAAACACGGCAAAAAAATATCAGAAACGCTTCATGGGAGAAAGGGGATGACATTTTCGACGCCGATAAATGGTTTTTGGGTCATTCTGGGGTGTACCAGCGGGAATGGCTCACAAGTGGCGCCACTGGAGCGGCATGCACATAGGATCGTGGCCGCAGTTGAGTGGGTATTTGAACTTCTCCGGCGATCAGGCGGCTGAAGCTGACTGATTGCAAGTTATACTGAGACTTGTATTTGAACGGCCAAAACCTGTGGAATTTGGGTGTGGGTCAACAAATACGTAATGCGACGCCGTGGAGACATCGCGCGAGCGCATGCCGCTCCAGTGCGTGCGTGAGGCGTTCCCGCTGATGCGCCCCAGAATGACCTTATAAGCATTCCCAGGACCTTCCCTTCATGGAATGTTGGAGTCATTTGTTCGGTCAGTATTACTGTAAAACAGCAGCAGCTTAAGTACCACACTTGATGTTTATGTGAGCTATCTTCGCTGAGAAAGTGTAGACATGGAACATAGTGCTGCTAGTAATTACCTATTTTTAGCTGAAGCCCAGCACTTTTCCGTAATATGCCTTGCCTCCTTGTAATTGAATGTAGTATTGAATTCAGCTTCCTCCAAATCTGCTTTAAGCTTTCTCCGACCGGCTACTCCATCTGCTGGATGGCTGGTCGCTTGTAAGGACCCTTCGTCTCTTTACACACCGCTCCACTATGCGGCTCTCCATGGACACCATCACATTTGCAAGTAATACTTTTTTGTGTTCTTCTTTTGAATTTTTTTTCTGGTTTGGTCATCGACATGGATTTCAAAAGCAATAAAAGCTCGAAAGGTTTCTTCTCTTTTGGCTATCTGGGGTAAGCCTGCTCCACGAACTTCTCGCCTCCTGCACTTTCTTTCGGTCGTGTGTCTTCCAACCGCCTTTTACAATTTTGAACATCTCGTATTTCTATTTATTTTCGTCAACAAAAGTTCAAATTTTCGGTAAACCAGTCATCTAGATATTATTTCAATCCTACTTACTATTATAAAGCGCTTCGTCTGTCGTCTGTCTGTCGTTCTGTATGTCTGTCACAAGAGTCCCTAGCTCCTCGGGATCCGCCTGTAGGGACCGGGTCAAGAGTGGGACGGGTGGGCAAGGTCTCATGAAATACGAAACACACATCAGCCACCAGTGTGGAGCCCCGCCCACAGAGGGCGTGGCGTGCGCCGAAATGAACCGTACCGAAGACCAAGATTCCGCAGTGACAGAACATCTAGAAACTGGGCCAAAAAGTTGATAAAAGTGTGCATTGGTAAGCCACATCGAATTAGGGAGACCCACCCCCGGTGGGCAGGGCGTTCTCCAAAAAAACAGTGCTTTATGAAAAATTTCATAACTCGGTTGGAAGAAAGCCATCAGAGCAGAAACAATTTGGTGTAAGGGAGCAATGTCTAAGGTGTTTCCTGCACACAAGACGTGTACGGAGACCCACCCACAATGGACGGGGCACGCTCTGAAGTGTACAGCATTTTCTACAAATCCTCATAATTCGGGCCGGGGAAGTCTTAAAGAGCCGGAGAAAGGAGGATAATGGTTGACGAAGGAAAAAAGGTTGAAAGCCGTCGATGATGGAGCGGATAGAATTTAGCTGACAATCAGATAATCGTGCTATATCAAGCCAAATTTGGAAATTTCCGTCGCACTATCAAAATTCGCCGCAGATCTGTGTTGTGCGCGCAGTACGTGCGGCGCCAACTGGTGATTTAATGATTTATTATCGGTAGTCAAATGATATAACACAAACTCGAAAAAAAAAACAGATCATCTATATTGAAATGAACTACACCAATGCAGTACTGCGGGAAGGGGAGTGGATAATCGGCGCAGAAGGGCAGTGGCCGCCAACAGTGCAAGCTCAGGGTGCACGAAACAAGAATTCCGAATACCAGCTTAGTAGGGCCGCCAACTCTGCCGACATCCGACTCCCAGATATCGAGTTACCTTAATGTTTAAAATTCGAATTGGAAGTGAAAGTCCATACAGCAGTTGAGGGTACTCATTCCACTCCTCCCATTTTGGGCGCCAACTTTTGTAAGAAGCAAACGCGAAGTTTTTCCAGGCCAACTTCGTGTTAAAGCAGTAATTTCACAGAAAAGAGATTTGTGAGCCACGTAATCCCGTCTTGAGTACAGCGATCGCATAGAGATGGCGTCTGCCCGACCAACAGTACCTAGTATCCTTTGAAACTCGCGTATCGGCGGGAATATTTACTAGGTAATAAGACCTTGGAAGTGAACCACCAATCTGAACTTACGCATGCTCTTTTCAGTTTAGAGCAAATTTAGTCTGGGTAGTGATTTAGACTTACCCATATACGAGAATAATAACATGAGATTGTGCTGAGTCCATCGATGGTGCGTGGAGTCGTAAAGTTGCAAGGGCGTGCCGACTCCCGACTCGTGATCGCAGAATGCTTTCTGATCGACATAATTGTGGCGCTGTACTCCTCCCTTATAGGTGCCATTCCAGCGCTGCGCTTGATCCCATTTTCCTTAGTGTGGAGGACAATCTGCGAGCGCAGCGAGCAGCCTAGGTGGACACCTCTTGAAACGCTAGATTCAGCGATTGGTTGAGCTTCCCGTTCCCCCACTCAATTCTAATGGAGTACGTGCGACATGCATTCAGAAACTATTGTAGCGCACCCCCATGCCCTCAGGGTGTTGGAGAGATGGAAAGCTTTTCAACAAGAACTCTTGACCAGCATTGCGGCCTTTATGGGAGCACGGAGCAGAGCATGGTTTGCAGAGTGTGGTGCTCATACACATCATCGGGAACCAGCTCCTCTCTTTTGAAGTTTCGCTTTGAGTTGGGGTAGCTTCACCCATCAACCGCTTCAGTCACTGGCTTTTAAAAAAAAGTTCCTTTTCCAATCGTTCCTTTGCGTATTACTATGAGCAACCGTCTGCGCTTTGCTGTAACATTTCCTTCTATGTGTGCCTCAAACTTCACCGACCTACGTTAGCTAGCACTGAATAACGGTCAAGGAAATCCTCGACCATAGCTCTCTACCATGCGAGAGTAGTGCGGAGAGTGAACATCTGCGCGGAGACCACAGACGGCACGCATGGCGACTGTGAATGCCCGCGCGAGAGTGTCTCTGATCGGGCAGAGATCGACGTGCCGTTGAGGAATCCTCAAGCGATATTCACCCTGGCTAGCAGTAGGAAATCAAACAAAAGTTACTCCCGTCCTTAAGTTTTGCACACCAGTTATTTTATAATATGTATTAGGACGTTTCCACCTTCTCCTCCTTGATGTAATTATTATATTCCCTCGACAGCTGGCTATGACACTGATTCCCATGCCGAGTCTTATATCATAGTAGAATTGTGTATTAGAAGGGATCTTACCCGGAACCGAATTGTATCCCTTTCTCGCATAAATGCATAATATATGATCACTAGTGGCACTATACAAGTGCTTACATGAGGATCCAGTTCTCGAGAGGAAACAAACCTTTGAATATCTTGTGGACAGTTCACGGACACGGGCGCAGCCAAAAGATAGAGGTACGTGGTAGGACGGCTACATATCAGGCCACGAGTCGTAGGAAGGAATTAACTTCACCTCCAAATCTTCAAAATTTGCTCTTTTCATGAAGGATAGGTCACTGGCTGTCGATTCATGGAAGAGATAGCACCTTGTTGATTCTGCACGATTCTTGTGAATGCAATACACGCGTGCTTTTGTTCACAAATGACTTGCTTGTGGCCCTTAATTTCTGAAGTCAGTTTCAGACTATGCTCATTATTCTTTCCGTTTTCTGAATTCTGAACACATCCCAGCTCCATGTGTTTATTCGCTCATTTTCCTCTTCTAATCTTTCCTTTCTTTTCCTCGATTTGGGTGATCCAGCATGAAGAGGTATTATGAAATTGCACCTAATGATAGGTTCTCGAAAAGTTCCCCGCTCCTGAGGTTACTATTGCACTGTCATCATTGCCTCTTTTTTGTGTACTATTCTAAGAACTAAGCGTCATCCCTTTCCTTTTTTATTCGCTTCTTTTCATACTGGCACAGTACATGAGCTCAGAAGTCAAAGACACCGGCACAGTTGACAGCTTATGAAACGCAATGACGTTAATTCCAGAGCTTTGATTGAATCCGACCGGCTGCTGCCATCAGCGAGGGACAAAAGAGGCTGTGTGCCATTGCATTTGGGCGCATGGAATGGCCACTTTGAAACTGCAAAGGTGAAATTATATTATTATACAGTTATAGAGTACAGCGTCTTAAAGTAATTCTCGTTTCAGTTGCTAGCCGAATCAGATCCGGAAAGTGTTGATGCAGTGAACAACGCACAAGAATCTTCTTTACATTTAGCCGCCCAACACGGCCACGACAAACTGGTTCGCGTACTTCTTGAGGTATGCCCAAAAGAGCGTTCAATTCTTTCCTGTAAATAAATTGAAACTTTTCAATACTGTTACAAGAAAGTAGGGCACTATTCAACTATTACGACCCCAAAAACTCAAAATTTTATTTTTCGTCGAAACTTCGCCTGAATAGGGGTTATTTGAGGTCCTGATCACGAAAATAAAGTTCATTTTTGGCGCTGGTGCCATTTGGCGCCAATTAGCACCAATTTGGCGCCAAGGGTGTTTTCACCATATTCGCTGGAACTTGCACATAGGGGTTATTTGGGGTCCTGATCACGAATATAACATTCATTTTGCGCGCCTGTTTTCCGCTCGTCTGCGCCCTCTCACTGATCACCTCGCGATCGGTACTAAGCCTTTGAGGAGGAGAGTCTTCGGAAATGAATAACACTTATCCTGTGATCTTATACGCTTTAACGTTTGCCACATGTTGACTGGTTCACCCACCCCGGAGTCCTCCGTACTTCTAGGCTCAGTCCTAGGTATTATGTACAAGTGAGAGGCCAGGAGAATGGAAAATGTGCGTTGAACGGTGGAAATGCTAAAAACGAATGACATATCCGTAATCCGGACCCTAAATAACCCCTATGTGCAAGTTTACAGCGAATTTGGTGAAAACACCCTTGGCGCCAAATTTGCGCCGCCAAAAATGAACCTCATTTTCGTGATCAGGTCACTGAATTACCCCTATAGGCGAAGTTTCGATGAAAAATAAAATTTTGACAAGAATGCTGGGTTGTGAACAGAACGTTCGCCCTAGGCGGGTCTAGAACCCGCACCTCTCGCTTTCCGGGCAAGTGCGCTACCAGTTACGCTACCGGGGCACCATTTCATCCCAACTAAGCTTTTCCTGGTGTATTAACTATTACGACCCCAAAAACTCAAAGTTTTATTTTGTTTTTGTTTGTTAACTGCGGCCAAAAACAGCAGTTAACAAACAAAAACAAAATAAAATTCTGAGTTTTTGGGGTCGTAATAGTTGGTTGAATAGTGCCGAAAGTAGAAGCAAATATGGGGTCTCATCCGATAAGAGGGGGCATTGCGGTGCACGGTCTGCTCCAATGCCAGTTTGGCTCAAGGAGTCGTTTCAAGTTACGAGCTGCTATCAGCTTTTTTCCTATGTTATTTCTTCAAGAGTTTTGTGTAATATATGTATTCTTGTACAAGATGACATTAACGTCTGCGAGAAGTGAAATTCACCTAGTTATCAGGTCAGGACTAAGCCCAGGAGGGGGAGGAAGTCCACGGGGAAAGCCGAGATTGCTCACGGATCCGGGGTCTCTTTCCCTTCTAGGGCTTACACTTGAACATCTACAATAAAACAATGTGCTTTCCATGGTTTGAAATGCTCTAGATCGCTATGCCCTCCCCCTTACTGGATGAGACCCCAAATATGCTCAGTTCAATATTGTAACCTTGAATTACTTAATAAAAAAAAATTTACAGAAAGGCAGTGATGGTAATGGTAATAGGCAAATAGTCGCTATCGCACTAGACGGGGTATTTCGTAATCGCCTGTCCACGTTTCGTAAGCGTGTCCAAACGTATAATGTTTAAACGTGTCAATTAGTGCTTTGGAGTTCAGGTAGAAGAGCGAATTAGCTAGTGCTAAGGGTAAGCTCTTCAAAGGGAAGAATCAGAACAAAGACGATTTCAAGGCGCTGTTGCAAGATACGGTAGCATTGTGATGGCGATCCGTTTCAAGCAACGTAAATCATATTTCTGTCAAAAATGGGATCAAGCCTTAGGTGGAGGAGGAGAGGCTCCAGATTGCGTGAACTATTTTTCTAATTCCCCGATGTTCCTAGGCCTGGTCCTAGGGAATGCCCCCATACAGCGTTGCTCCAAAAGGATCAGATATTTCAGAATCAGAAAAAAAGAGGATCGCGTAGGAATGAAACCGGTGGCATAGGATCAGAGCACACACGTTTGAACGTGTTTATTCTGATCCCATGCCAGCGGTCCCACGTTCTAAGCTTTAACCAGGTTTCACCAGGTATGTAACACGACTTCACCAGAATGCACACCTTCAGATAAAATGCCCCTGTCAATTGCGATAGCGCCGAGTAGTAGCTAGAAGTAAAAGCACAAAATTATATTCGGTCCGCAAACAAATCGATCTACCGTATTCCAGCACCATGCTGATCCACGACTTCGGAACGCTCGCTTCGAGACACCGTTAGATGTGGCTGCGCGGACCGGACACGCCGTTGTCTGCAAAATTCTGATCGGTTTTTGTCCAGAACTTGCTTTACAGGTAAGATTTTAGAAGCATTCCTACAAAGAGGGTGAGAAGGCCTAGTGGCGCCACTAGAAGTACCATAGTTCAAGGTCGGGGCTTCGTCAATCGTCGCCGAACCAAACTCTCTAAACCTTCCATCTTTGCGGTGTTGATTGACTGCGTTGGGCTCACGCTGATCCCAACGTCGGCTGCCGGCAAGGCATCGGACCTTGATTCTTGACTGTAGTCCGAATCGTATTCAAATGCCATCGCCACTCTGAATGGAGTTGGAGTGCGTGGCCTATACCAAAATGCATGGGACTAGAGACTGCTGAATGCTTTATCTTTTACCTTTCATTTCAACAGGGAGAGAACTGCGTAATGCATATCGATACATCTTTCCATCTAAACCTGGTAATTTAAGAAATCGTAGGACCTGACCGAGACGAGTATCTCTTATGACAGGGTTAATGAGTGTATGCATCTGTTCACGGCTCACTTTATTATAGTCGCACGATCATTCGGTTTTTTTCACAGAACACTGGCTGCATTTCCAATCTCCGCTGAACATTCCTTATGAAAAGAACCCTCTGGATTATATTGGGTTGCCCAGAAGATGCCCGGGAAAAGTGTACGTCTCCTGTATGGTAATGGTGATAGCCTTGCTCATTGAATATGTATTTCATTCAACAAAAGAAGGTGCATTCAAAAATCTGGGACGAAGTGTCGCAGGATTTTCTCTACAACCTAATGTAATGTGTTTTTCTTACACTACTTTTGCCCGCAATTATTTATAGTCGGCGGTGGACTGTTCTTCTACTGGTGAAAACGGTCGGGTCCGTGCGCAAGTGGTGTATCCTCTTCATGCTGCCGCAAGACATTCACACATCCAATGCCTACAGGTACTTGTTTGACAGTCGTTGCAATTTATTCCAAAATACAGCGAGGTGCTTTCTTAAAGGGATGACTTACGATCAATTTGTAGCAGTGGTTCCGCTCAGATTTCAAATTAGAAGTATTAAGCATACAGCTATGATTAAAGGGCAGAGCAAATCCCTGCGATAACCAAAATAGGACCTGCACGGAGGCGAGAAACAGAACTCGACATGCGAAAACGTTTTGGATGAGTGGAAATGACAGAAGATGCTAATTGAGGCTGGCTTGCTGACAAGGCGTTTTTTGTGGGGGGAAGGGAGCTCCTAGTGCCCTTTTGGCGCACCTTTGAGGTGCGAATTAGTACACCTTCAGCAAGCGTGGTCAGCTCTCTCTTATAAGGCATGTTTCCCCTCAAATTATGTAAAGGAATTGATGGACAAGACTTCATCGTGGAGTGTTCCTTTGAGTATTGGGTGCTGATGTTAAATGATATCGTTACGTTCTTCCAGATTCTGCGACTAGGTGGCTTTGACATTGACTTTGTGACGGATGAAGGCTCGGCGCTCCACGTCGCTGCGATGTTCGGTCAAGTGGATGCTGTAAAATATCTGACTGATGAAGGTATGATTCGAAATTCATCGAATTTCATAGCATTCGGTTTCTTCTTCCTTTTGATAACGTTTGTCGCGCCGTGTATAGGCGGGTTTGTCCCATGCTACAATATTAGGTTGTCCGATGTGAGGTCGTTTTTCTTTGGATAGGATTCCTTTCCGAATTTCCACAATACTATGTAATGTCACATAACATAGCGTAAGAGAATTGTCTGGGGTAAAAATCGTTTACTTCTCTATGTTTATTACAACTTGTTGAATTTCAATCCTGCTATATGGAAGATTTGTAGGCGAAAATTAGCCAAAGAGGCAACTTGCTCTAACTCTATGTACTACTAGGAAACATGGATTAGTGATACACCCTTACTTGTTTATGACCTACTCTAAAGGATCCGCTATTAGGATGTCCAGTAAGTCGCGTCATGCTTTTCTCAATTTTGGTGTTCCACTAGAACTGGATGGTTAACCACGACGTCGTCAAAATTAAACGCGAAAGTTCTGACCGCTGAGTCGTTCAAAATTATGAAATGTTCGGGAGAAGTCTTGGCTATAAAGTATGTCTGATGATTTCATCATCTTTTTAGCGGGAATTTTTTTCCAGTAATGTGGTTTGACATGCTATTATACAGGACCACAACTTGAACTAATTCATTATCAAAATAAGCCTAGAGAACAAGTAGTGCAGAAAAAAGCTCAAGAAAGATAATTGAAGGGTATGAAACAATGGGCGCGTTGCCCGTGGCGTTATTGGTGCACTTTCTGTGCGGCACACCTCCCTCTCCTTGCCTGAGCCTCTAGCCCTTCAGCAGAGAGAGAGAGAGGGTTAGCGTTGAAGAGGATAGGACCGATGAGAGTGGCATTAATGCGGAAATCAGCGGGCAAGGAACGGGTTTTGTTTGTTCTTTACTCTAGTAATTAAACCTAAGCCTAATTTCCAATGGGCTGCCTTTCATCGTAAAATCGGCTGGTGGCTTTGTTCTGAGCATTGATTGCTGGTTTGAAGAGTTTTTTTTTGAATAATATCATGAGTTCGAAAAACGAATAATAGAATGACATATGAATTGCCAGTGTTTCTAGTGAGAATCTTCAAATAACAAGGCGTTCGGCGTTCCTTTTGAGGTGCGCCACGCATTTTACTTCCTTTAAGGGTTTGAATTGAAATCAGTTCTTATGTAGATATGAACCGACTTCTGGGGCCAGTCAATGTATACTTCGGTGTTTCCGTCCCGAATCCCGAACGTCGTGAATCCTGAGGGATGGAGACCTTATTGGCCTAGGCCAGATTCAAGCGGGGATTTCCGATCCACCACCTCTTCTTCACCTTGTTAATGAACATTATGAACAAAATGTGAAAATTTGAACTAATTTTTAGGAATCAACCCTCATATGCGTGACAGCAAAGGCCGAACTGCGCTGGAAGTGCTTCGGGAACATGAGCAGCATCGCACTTCCGACTTGACCTACATTATTCAGAGCCGAGAGGGATGGAGCGAATGCAGGAAAATCATTGATGGTACGGAAATTACACTTTCTGATCTAGCAAATAAACGTCAAAGCAAGCTGAGCCATCGTACTTGAGTTGGGTTGTTTCAACGCAATTTTCACGTTGGCCATGGGGCGCAGTCAATTTACGCCTCGTGACCTTTTTGTTGGTGAACCCACTCTCCTTGCAATTTTGAAAGTAGGTGCCAATAAAAGAAGAGGAGTGACGGTAACTTCATGGGGACGCACTGCTTCTTCCGTATGCACTCGACGATCAGTGCGGAATCTGCCTTTAAAGCAACAGTCCCAGGAACGCGGATAAATCTTGAAACGATTCCGTGGACGTGAATTAAAACGTTCTGTCCGCAAGTGCACCACGGTCATTCTATCTCACGGTCGAACATGCGCAGGCTGTTCAAAATTCTGTTCAGTGTCATTTTTACGGAGATAACACACCAGAGAACCCAGTAAAATATCAGGAGGCGCAGGCTCGGAGGGGGCTACCATGTAATATCGCGTCAAGATCACGGTGAAGCACAGTTTCAGGACTAAGCCTTTCAATAGGGGAGGCACTCTGGTGTGCAGAAGCACTTTTCGTATTCTCTGGAGTTCGTCCCTGCTGACTAGGCTTAGTCCTGGCCTTTCCAGATTCCCTCCCCCTTCCCCCTCGAGCCACATTGCGCTCACTAGGAAAACTCTCCCTTGGATGATAGCACACCCCGCAATCAAGTGCCTTTCTAAGGATCTAAGTAAAACTGCAGCTTGACTCTTCCGGGTTTTGACAGATTCTGATGCGTTCAATAAGATACTTACTTCTTACTTCTTACTTCTCGACCGCTATTCGTCCCGGGCACGTCAGAAACGCAGGTCGCACATCTTCCAGGTCGCTCTGCTTCGGGCTCTTCTGCGCCACAACTGGCCGTACATCTTCACGAGAGGGTCTGCCCATCTGGTAGGGGGGGCTGCCTCTGCGGCCTGTTTTTTGTTCCCTTGCGGGTACCAGTCAGTTCCTTCTCGAGTCTAGAGCATCATCGGGTAAGTCATTTAAGCGAATATCGTAGAAGTCTAGCCACAGACCAGGCCACCTTCGACTTGATTTTATAGTGATGGTCATCGACGACGTCCTTTCACCATCGTACCGACGCGGCGATGGTGTCATTGCGATATGCGTATGGAGCGTTACCCCGGACATGGCCCTTCAATTGCGTCGCTGAGTGGGATGCGAGTTTCCTTATCAGAGAACTGTGTGTGCATCAGAGTCTTCCGCCGTAGGTTCATGCGGAAAAGCAGAACATGACGAAGTGGAAGAGCGATGAGAGCTTTGACCTCGGGGCCGATGTTGCTCGTCAAAAGTTAGTACATTCAAAGGTTTAGTGAACGCCGGCGTCAGCACCGCCCTGCGGCGTCGGCTCATCTCGAGCGTGAGAAGGTTATCATAAGTTGGAGCGCTTATTTACCGAGAGTATACGAATGAGGCAGCTCGCTCGTCTCTGGCTGTCTGAGGAGGAATCGGCTTCGGTACTGGATTGTTCTTCTCGCATTCACTGCAGTCTTGCGGGAGAATAGAAAGTCCGATTTGGCCGGCGATCTGCTGATTGAGGCTCAGGGACGTGCGCCAATGTCGGCCGGGGTCCTCGCCTATCAGACACAGGTCATCAGCGAAGAAGGAGGATGGTTAGCGAACGCTACGGTCGATGGTTCACCTCGAGGCAACGAGATTCGTCCTCATGATGTTACGTCGAGACGCAGAATATGGAACAAGTTCGCGGACGTAACCTCGCCTGTTGACGCCGCGCCGGATTTGGGGGGACGGGTCTGTTTTTATGAGTTTAGATATTCGGGTATAACAGTCGTGTTGCACTGTTGTATTTAATCCTCCCGCGGTGTTGTAATATGAGAGGCTCGGGAGATACCGCACTCGCCGCATGAGCGTTGTGTACACTCTCATGCTCCACTGTGCGAAGGCCTTTGCGAAATCGATAACAGAAGACACGATGGGTGCTTGGTACTCGCGGGGCACGTTCCGTCAGCTGATGATATTACTGAATAGGGTCAAGTGGAGAGCAATGAACGGAACCCGGCTGTCTCTACGCTCATGTATTGCGTCGATGCAACGGCGTTAGACATGGTTGAGTGACAAGGCTGTGAGGAAGACTTCAACACCTGGGAAGGAGAATAATTGGGCGGAAAGTGTTGGTAAGATTGTGCGCGGTCTTTCTTGTGAATGAGACAGCGTAGATCTGAGCTCCTCAAGACGTTCGGGAGATCCCTATCGCGCAATATGCTGGCCGAGACAACAAGCGGAGAGGGCCACTATCTCCTCACCAAGCATGGAGAGACTCCCTCTCACACGATCTGGTCCCGGTGATGCTTGCCCTTCTTCATCTAGGCAAGAGCGTAGCACTTTGCTCGATAGCCATTCGGTGGTAATACCTTGTCTGGATCCGCCAATCGTTTCTCGGGTCGGGCTCACTTATTACTGATGCAAGAGGTTGCTGATAAAAGTTATGACAAATCAGCTCGGCCATCTCGGCGCTGTATGTTACGGTACCGTCAGGGCAGAGAATCGGGTTCAAGTGGTTATTCAGGCCTGATTACGATAGGCCCTTTTGAAGCTTGTTCAATTACTTCGGCTGCTTCGCAAGCTCTGCGGGACGGTCAATTCCTTGTAATCTGCTCTACCGGGCACGGTTTTTTTAAAGGCGGTATTTTTCAATTATGGCTCATCTAGCAACTTTAGCTTTCATATCCTCAGCCAGCGCTAATGTTCTCGGGATAGTCATACGCGGTCGGCGGTTCGGAGGTGAACGTTGTTGTGGCCTGTTTACGACGCGGGAACCTCAAGTTCTTTGCGTACTCGTCGTAACGGTGCCGAATATTTTAGTGGGTTTGCACACCGTGGGGGCTAGCAGTCGGACGATATCAGAATGACCTTCGTCTTGATGTTAGACTGCTGGGCTATTGCCCTGAGCCGCCGCTCCAACTTTCCGCTTATTTTGAACGTTGCCCTGAGCAACCTGTGGTCGGACCCGATATTGAACCGCGACTCGCTGATGACCGTCACGCCGTCGAAGTACCTGAGGTTCCCGGCTAGGATATGGTCCAGCGTGTGTTTACCTATCCCATTGGGACTGCGCCAGGTCCACCGCCGCCCCTGTCGCTTCTGGAAGAAGGTGTTGGTTACAAATAGCCTCTCGCGCTCGGCGAACTCGGCTAAGACCTCCCCCCGAGGGTTGCGGTCTCCACGACCGTACGGACCGACGAAGCACTCGCCGGGACGGCCGCACCCGGTGACACCATTGAAATCGCCGGCGACGATAACTCTGGGGCCACGGGGTTTTGTGCGGATGTCTTCTGAAATTTGTTCATAGAAGTCCTCGACAACGGCGTCATCGTAGGCGCTGGTGGGAGCGTATGCGTTCACAACGAGGATCAGCGTTCGGTCATCGACCCGCACTTGGAGAAGTGCCAGCCTCTCTGATCTTATTTCACATGATACCACTCTGCGCGTCATGCGGGGGCTGATGACAAAGCCCGCTCCGCCCACTTTTCCATTGCTTGCTCCAGCACCGAGATGCACCTCGTGCCCGGACCCCCACGTCCATGAGCCGGGTGCGCGCCTTCTAGTCTCCTGCAAACAACAGATGTCGATGCTACATTTGTCGAGCTCGCCAATGAGGTGGTCAATCTTGGCATCCGATGTTAAAGCTCGAACATTGATGGTACCAAAATAGACGTACAGATACTTGTCGACTGCGAGATTTCTCCCCCTCTGCTTTACCCTCTGTACATGGGATCCGCTGCGCAGAACTGAGGGTACATTTTTTAGGACCTTGGGTTTTTAGGACATAGGCGGTGGCCAGAGACTGCCCACCGCCTAGCCTATCCTGGCGGAGAACCCCCACTGCCGTATGTAAGGGCCGTCTCTCGGGCCGCCACCCTTTAGCCTACTTCCTGGGGAGGAGTTACGGCTACCCCCTCTTTTGCAACGAGAAAGCGTTTCCGCCCCCACAGCGCGACGAGCTTGGTGACACTGGTGAGGGAATAAGATACTACCTTTCACTTATTTGGACAAATTCAATTAAGCATTGAGAAGGAGGAATTCTGAAGCAGGTGTTGGGAAGACGGAAAAGCGAACGACAGCAGTCAATGAAACGTGTAACAAAATTATTTTTCACGTCATGCAAACAAGGCTTTTAAAAAACGCTTTCATCTGTGGCCAATAAAAGAACTCTTGTAGATTACTGACGATTATTACCTGTTACTTCTCCTAATTGAAGGAACATGTATTTTTAATGTTGTTGGCAAAACGACGCCGATGACTAGTAGCGCAATGAAAGAAAACAACCGAGACACACTCTGAAGCTTGGCAGTCCAGAAAGGCAGAAGATTAATCTGATCTATAATCTCGCCGTATTCAACATCATCCTCATCAACCATAAACAAATCGATGTCTAAAACCACTGATGCTTCTTCTTGATCCTGTTCTTCACTATCGAACTTCTGCGACGATGTTGACAGTCTTCTGCGTTTAGCGCTCATACTGGTGAGCGAGGATGACCAGATTTTCTGAACGATTCTGGTGACGGTTTTCTCCCCTACTTTAGTTCTTCCCGCTTATCTGGAAAAACCATCAGAACAGTGTCAATCCAGGCGCAGGCTTGAGAAGGTGCGCGCGGCAGCAGGAAAGATGAGGGGGGGTAACCAATTTAGGGGGGTCAGAGGTGAGGGCAGTCACTTAACATGCGTGAAAAGCTGGAATGTTCCGTGAAAGCTGGAATGTTCGAGTTTACAATACTTCGCTAAGACGCGGTGGCGACGCCCCTCCCCTTCACCTCTCCCGAGCCACATTGCGCCGTCGATCCATTACATTCAATTACACCAAAAGCACACTTCGGGTCTATTCCACTTAGGGAGGATCATGGTGCGGTGACTCCCAAAAAGCTACGGTAACTCTGAGCCAGAGGGAGTGTAGCCAGCCTAGGGGGGTGGGGGGTGAGTGCAGTCTCTTGACATGCGTGAGAAGCTGGAATGTTCTAGTTCACATTAGCTCGCCGAGAAACTGCATCATGATGCCCCCTAACTGGAATAGACCCCACACTTCCATTGAAAGACAAAGGTACAGAATTCTGAACACCCTGCGCATGTTCGAGCGTGGGATAGGATGCCCGTTGTGCACTTGCAGACAGAACGTTCATTCCACGTCGGCGGAAACGTGGTGCACTTGCAGACAGAACGTTCATATCACATAGTTCCAAGATTTATCCGTCCCAGCAAGGTGGGCGTGGTCGTTAACGACTGCAGTCCCCTCGGCCGATTCCAGCCACGCTCACTTCAGGTACCTCCCTAGCGGCCTTCCAAGGTGAGTTTTTGTTCAACCACACTCTTACGTTCTTGACTAGGGGCTGAACAGCTCCGGAGTGGGTATCGACCGAGGTGATTGCAGCCATTTCCGACCACGCCCACGCTGCTGGGAATGCTGCTTCAAGAGTGTGAAATGTGCTTGAAAGGAGAAGCCCATTTTGCTCAATAAAAAGAAAAATAAGAAATATTATTCAAGGCTATATCCATCGGCTCGAATCTGAGCATTTCAACTCTTCGAGCGATTCGGGTATCGATCGACGAGATTCGGAGAGAAGCGCCATTGACGACGACGTGAGCGGTGACATTTGGCGACCGCTTCCACACAACTCAAATGGTAGGACTAGAAAGTGTACAACGTTACATTCGCTTTTCAGCTGTACGCATCAACTCTCTCAGGTTTTCACAAAGTCATGATACGAGCTACAGCAACTTGGCATAACGAGTTCCATATGGTGGTGTAGTCAATGCGTCTTACCGTGAATAATGGCGCCATTATGGCCGGTCTCAGACTTGGCTAATCTAGCGATTGGCTAGCGAATCACGGGCTACGCGCGTGCACCAGCTATTCAAGCGATGCGTCAGCGAATCCAACTGTGTGTACCAACGGTTCGAACAATGTACCAGCGACTCGACACTGCTTGATAGTGACGGAACTGCGTCTAAACGTTGATTCTTGCCACTTCACGGAGTCACGAGGCCATGAGAGAGCGAGAGGTAGAGAGCTCGGGAAAGTGGCGAGAGTCAACGTAAAAATGGGTGGCAGTCCGACCACTTTCAAACAGTGTCGAGTCTCTGGCACATCGCTTGAACCGCTGGTGCAGAGTTCGATACGCTTTTGCAACGCTCGTATTCCGCGATTCGCTAGAGAGTCACTGGATTCGCAAAGTCTGACATCGGCCTATCTATGATTCAACCGCGCGGAATCAAAACCGAATGCGACGCGACCTTCGAGATAGAAATAGCAATCGAGCTGAGCATTAGATGGAGGATTCTAAGAAAAACCATAACTGGTTCATGCAGACGCGTTATCTGTTAAGGGGGTTTTCTTGGACGACTCGCTTCGTTTTCCCATAAGAACATGATCGCAAAGGTCTACTCACATACGACAAGCGTAATTGCTCTTTAACTACTTCTCAGTTTGTCTCATCAAAAAAAAAACTTCGCCTGAATAAGGAAAGTGCAGGTTTCGGTTTTTTTTTAGTTTCGGTTTCCTCGGGGCGACCACTCATAGATGCCACCATTTCGCTACTACATATATCACATTCAGAGTACACTGCGTCTCCTAATTATACAGCCACCTAGAAATTGTTCAAAATCTCGAATTCCACACAGTTTCTGGAAAAATGTCCAACAAGAAAACTGTGTCAAATTTTGTCGCAAATTCGAAAATCAACACGAAATTCCAGGTTGGGAATGCGAAAAAATTTTATTCTAGTTTTTCCGGAAAGGGTCGCTTCTCCAACGCCTCCAAATGATACAGCCACCCCATGTTTTTTTTTCGTTGTATTTCATTTTTGCTTGATAATATTTGACAGTAATCACCACTCTCTTTTCTAGGTCATCACGAAAGGAAAGCGGTTGTTGGATTTCAAAAAAAGGGTAAATGGTCGCAGACAAAAGAAAGAGTAAGGGCCAGTGGTTACATTGCGCGGAAGTTAAATGAACATTTTCTTCTTGCATGCCGTATTGAATAAAGCTGGAAAGTGCTCTGAGAGCTCCTCTTTGCTTTCTGATCAAGATTAATGCGGAATTTTGAAAATAACACCCAATTTCATAAACCCGTGCTCGTAATTAGAGGCCTCTTTCGAACTTAATCTCCTACTGCATTGTTCTTGGTAAGCAGGAAGAACTTCCAAGTTCGCTCTTAAGCGGAAAGTGAAGATAGCAGTGTTTTTAGAAAGAAACCTTGTCAAAAACTGGGACATTTTTTCCGTGGTAAGAGTAACCAAGCCGAAGTTGGCTTGGCTGGCTGTATCGTTAAGAGACGCACTGTAGTAATCACATTCTGAATGTAGTCCCTCAACCAAACAAAACATTACCGTCACAGTCGGCTATCACTACATATTTGTCATGATGAAGAATTCCATTGTGATTCTTCACTGCTAAAGTATCTCTATATACTACATACAGTGCTCTAATGGTAAGAATCATTTCTATTTAGCAAACTCGCCTCGAAAATCTTCAAAGGAGTCTGAGGGTGCATCGTCTCCAACATGCAAATTTCCCTGTGATTTAGTAAGTACCATATTAAGCCAATTTTACTAAATAGGTTTTACGCTTATTTTGACGCCAATTTCTATTTGTTAAATTTGAGTTTAGGTCACTCCCTCAACGATGGCAGGAAAGTACGATAATGCGCCATTACGAAAGTCCGATGAGACCCGTGAAAGTTCTATGTGAGTAATTGCTAGCCTTGCAATGTCCTGTAGGAGTTCCCAAATTTACAAAACAAAAAAAAACTTACAAGAAAGACTAATCTAAAAATTAAAGAGAGGACAAGTCAACAGCAACCATTTGCTCCCAGCCCACCGGTGTCCCGATTCATCGTACGTGGAATAGTCGAATGTATGGTGAGTGTGGAAGTTCTTGAAATAGTTTTTTTCTGTTCTGTTCATAAATGTTGTATTATACATTTGATTTCGATAGAGAGAGCGAATATGAGCACTTTATTGTTTTAAAATTTCAGACGCCGAACGCGGAATCGCTCGATTCCCCATTACATCACCGATGAACAAAACTCGCCATCAGAAGTCTAAACGAACTAGTGACACGCTTCCGTTGAGTTTTAGCGGAGTGAGGATGGGAGTAGTACAGCAACGAGGTATTGTCTGTTTTCCACTTCGGTTTGAATTTCATATGTATGCGGAAAGCTTGAGCAAGTGACAATACAAATAAGAATGGGATAGAGTACCATACTATTGTAATACAGTCAGAAAATTATATTATTTTGAGGGTATGGTCAAAGATTCAAGTATTTTGTTCCCGCGCGCGGACCTGCGTGTGGTTTTGTGAAGATTAGTTTAGCGCAGTTTCGTCGCACCCGGTAGGAGGTCAGAAGAGATAAGCTCATTGGCGGCACGGACGCAAGCGTCTGCTGTTGACGTCACAGTGGTGACACAGCGTGGCAGGCACGATTTCGCTCGAGCAGTGATAGGGACGGCTGACGCCTTGCCATTGAGCCTTCCAATCAGTAGTCCCAGCAGCGAAATGTCTCGTATCAAAACATGTGACCATAGGCGCTCTAGAAAACTGATTTTTTTTAAAGAAAATGTGGAAGAGCTAGCCTTCAACCCTTAGCCCCTCAGAAAAGCACAACCGAATTAGCGTTGACTATCAGCGACAGCGCTGTCTTTTGCTCGTCTCCACGCCGTCCCATTGTCGTGACAGTGACGTCACCATCGCACGCCGTCGCCGAAGGGCTTCGCCATGGAGCAAAGTGAAAGCAGTTTCGAGCAAACGCGCAACATGTGCGGGCGACACACGTCCCCATCTAAAGTTAAGGAACAATGAGATTTCTTGTCAAATGTAATTATTCACCATTTGGATCTTTTTTTCATTCCACTATGGGGGTATCCTGATTCCATCTTACAGTTCTTTTTGATATTAGGCCTGCAGTCATCTCGACCTCTCATTTTACGCCTACGGTGGAAGCTTCTCGAATTTCTCGAAATTTTCTTAGACCATATTCCGCTCATCACGGGGAATTGTGTCTCTGTCATAGCGAGAAGTATTCATTCAATCAACTTCCCTTGTTCAGGTAGCATTCTGCCGTCCGATCCGCAGAACTGTATCTATCGTGCACCACCGGTTTTCGACGTCTGGCATCAGAAATTCGTACAAAGTGATGGGATCACGCATACGTATAACCCGGCGTTTCCTTACGATAATGTTCCGAAAAATCTACTCACATACGACAACGCTCCACCACCAGGACACAGGTTTCGTTGAATACATTGTCGAAAATTCTACCCGGATTCGGGAGATGTTTTTGAAGCAGTACAATTACTAATTAATTACCTGCCATTCCGACATCCCAAAAACTGCCATTCCGACTTCCCAAAAAACACCTTTCAAATATGGGAAATGTGCGTTGTGACTGGGCAAAGATGCCATTACTTTTCTCATCCCTTCTTGTATGCCTGGCACCAATTGACCGGCTGCGGTAGGGTGGAATTTTTTCAGTTGGCCCGAGGTTGATACTTAGCAACAGTATGTGTGTAAGGGTTTCTCCCACAGCTCCGTCATCGTATAGGCTCCGAATAGGCAATTTTGCCGACGTTAGACAATAAATTTTAATTTTATCGAAGGCTGGAACAACACAATCCGAACATTACTACAGCTGTGCCGAGATTAACGGAGAGCCGCAGGGCTAGATCCGCGCCGCTCGCGCCGTTGCCTGCCCACCCCCTCATCGCCTCACCGGCGGATTGGCAGAGAGAGCGTTAGCCCTTATGAGGGGGCAGCATCAATTAGAGTCGCATCGATGCGGAAACAGAGAGCAATGAAGGGGCCTTCTCGTTTTTTTTTCGTCCCTGCACCACTGACAACCTCTAGACGTGATTTTTAATAGGCTGCTTTTATCCTGACTTCCTCTCAACATATACTAAGAAATATAATATTACGAAAAGGTGTTATATTCGGAGTTAATCAGCTCCATAGTAATACTCCACGCGTCTGATTCGTCATAATCGCAGAAGGGTTTAAAGGCAAGCTCCGGGATAAAGAGGGGTAGGGGCATGAAGTTGAGGGTGGGATGATCTGAAAACGTAAGAGAAATCAAAAGAAACGCTAGGTTACGCCTCGAGCAAAGCACTTCTTTCTTCCAGCCGCATTAAGCCTTGGTATGGGAAGGGCTGGGTTTGGACGAGTTCCCACAAATGAAGTTTCCCTCGTGTCACTTGTTGACTCTGAGCCAGGAATCGATGCAAAAAAAATTCGGTGCAAATGGATGATCCCTTTCTGTAGAGGTCCCCTACCTGAGACGAAATGAGAGAAGAAGGAAGAAGAAAGAAGAAAGTGAAAATAAAAAAGGAAATCTTCCCTTATAAGATTTTTGGGCACTGAGGGCCGAGATGGGTAAAAAATAATTATCGTTGAAACTTTTGCTAAGGGGGTTATCGAGGATCCTGATCACGAATATGACATCCATTTTTGGCGCTGGCGCCAAATTGGCGCCATTTGGCGCCGGCTGGCGCCACTACTGATCATCAATAAATTCGCTGTAAACTTCTGATTAGGGGTTATTTGGGGCCCTAATCACGAATATGACACTGGTTTTCTGACATTCGTGTTGTTTAACGCATTTTCTAATTTTCTAGGCTTTCTCACTTATGGCGCCTAGGAATAAGCTTAGGGAAGGGAGTGAAACTTCGGAGTGGGTGATCCACGCGCCATGTGGCAAAAGTTGGGGTGTGTTAGACTACAGGGGAGTTCACTTTGGAGCCCTCCACTATTCAAGGGCTTAGCCCTGATTGCGGTCTTATTAGTGCGAGGGCGCAGACGAGCAGGAAATAGGTGCCGAATAGCGCTAACAACGAAAACGAATGTCATATTCGTAGTCAGGACCCCAAATAACCCCCATACAGAAGTTTACAGGGAACTTAGTGGGAATCAGTCGTGGCGCCACCTGGCGCCAAATGGCGCCAAATTGGCGCCAGCTCCAAAAATGAATATCATATTCGTGATCAGAGCCCTCGATAACCCCCATAGCCAAAATTTCAGCGAAAATCACTTGACCCATCTCACCCCTACTGGGGTTGTAATAGTGCAATAGTGCCGATTTTTGAAATAGGTCTAATGACTCTTCACACCACGGATAGGATGCTCGATAAAAATTCGCAATCTGACACTGCCCCATCTGCTGCCGCCCTGTTCTCACAGCGCCATCGTGGCAGCTACGGCGGAAGGCAGGCCTTGTGGACTAGAGTGTGGTTTGCGAGTGGGCGAGTTTCAGCGCATTCGTCGCGCATTTTCCTGGAAGAGGGCATAACATCGACCCTCGTCCGCCTGCCTATCGCGATCGGGGATGGAACAGGTGAGCTCGCCTAATCCTGGAGCGTGCCTTTAAGAGCGTGTGAACTCCATGTTATCCTTCTAGATGATCTCGCAACTAGTCGAAATTATAAAGTGGAAGTCTTGATAGGCCCAAACTGGTTACATCCTCGGCGTGCTGCGGTGCTTCGTAGTCACACTGTCATCCCACCCATACTCTATCATTCTATTAAGCAATACAAAACTAGCATGAATCAAGTAATGACCGCACCCTGCATCTCCTATAATGCTTTAGCGGATGGGATCATGACTGTTCTCACACCACTGGAAGGGTCGGCGGCTCCTCAGTGATAGCCGCAGTCCGACGGCAGGATGGTTCCCATACTCTGCCGACATGTGAGTACTCGTATTTTACATTAGGTTGCAATTATTTTATTCATTTTCGATGAATTTTCAATCGATATCTTGCTGTCATACAAATACGAAAAAATGTGTTGCAGCTCGTCCACGAACACGCCCATCCTTAGTGAATACCTTCGGTGCAACTACGGAGAGTCCATTTGAAGAGCAAAGTCATGAAAAGCGAATGAGTAAGTGCTAATAATTTGATAACGTAATTTTCAAAGGTATTACTACTATGATATGTGTGCGTCCGCACACTTCCACATCCGATTCCAGTCTCAGTAAATAGAATGCGTTGCCGTGACGGTAAAGTAACCTTAACACAATACTGAAACGATATTAGTCGATTACGTAACTGCATTTATTAGCACACGTTTCTATCTGCGCATGTTCACCTTGCGTAGCACGCTGCCACGGTTTTTTGGAAGTAGAGCATGAACAGAAATTGAACACATCCTTCTCTCCCTTTCTTCTGGGTCTGAAGTTAACTAGCCAAACATGCACGCTAAGGGACAGTTTTAATGAGCACGTCACGTGGAGGTGCAAGTTTTTCTAGCGATGGTGGAAATCGCTTCTATGGCACCTAGGAGACATATTTCCTAAACACTGAAGAAAGTTTCCAGGTGAGCTGCAGCTCCCTGGCAGGAAGGTTCCTTGTTACACGCAACGTAAGAAGGGTTCGCTAGCAAAAAAACGGGACGCGGAGGGACGAAATACAATGCGTTTGAAGAGACGCAGGTGACCCCCGTTACGCTAAGCAAAAAGTCTTTCGAAGGACTTTTTGGAGTCGCTTAACTTCAAACTGCCAGGTGCGTGGGTCAAAGCACGGTTTCAGGAAGGGAAAGGGAGGCACCTTGGACGAGCAAAACATCCCTTTTGGCGCTTCGGCTGGGACCGTATGCTGAATGTTGGGAAGGGGATGGAGTCCCCGACGGTGGATGGACCACTTCAACTCCTTAGAACCGCCACAATTTGGTGCTCACCTCAGAACTAAGCTTTAAAGAGAGGACGGGTCGTCCCCTTTCCAAGGCTTAGTCCTGGATTGAGCAAACCGGCCCTCTGGCGGAGCTGCTGGACCAGCTGCCCCACATGCGTCAGTACTCTCCTGTCGTACCAACCGAGTTGAAGTAAACCGTCGACCGTTGGGGACATCCCCTCCCCAACACTCGGGATACGGTCCCAGCCGATGCGACAAAAGGGCTAGTTTGCTTACCTCGGCACCTTGCATTGTTTCGTCAGTGGTGTAACGTCTGTGGTCTACGTTGGTGTTGATCAAACGCGGGTTCAATACTACGATAGGTCTAAAGGCTTGCAACCTAAATAGGCTATTCCTTTTTCTCTACAACGCCTTCTCTGCCGATAAGAAGGGCTCCTTAGTGCAGAACGATGCTGCTCATGGGACGGTGCACTGGAAGTTCGAACTCGTGTGTTAAGCAAGGATTGCAGGCAACGTGGGGCTATCCACCTCCAGTATGGCAAATTACCAATGGCTCAATACAAACGTTTTATGCTGCCACTGGCAAGGGCTGAATCTACACCGCTTGGAGTCTAAGTTTTGAAGACAACATAGGTTGCTTACCTGTTGTAAAGACCTTCCGATGTTCTGATTGAGTGATCGCTGTTGCACTGGCAAAAACCTGGCTTAGAGTTCTGTCATCCAGGGTTCAAGTCCGAGAGTGGCGCAAGTTTTGCAGATAGTGTGGCGGTTTCGGGTCAAGTACATAATTCCATGTTCCTTGTTCCTCGCCAATGGGTGGAAATCACCACATTTGATTGCCACTTAGGGCACTTTAACCGCCCCTGGTGATTTTTGTTGAGCATAGGCAAAATGCATTACGGAGAGCAGCGGTAGTAATTCAGTCATGTTAATGCATGAGGTTGGATAGATCTTAAGGTGGTGGATGTTAGATGTTTGGTGGGTCTGAAAGCAGTGATCACAACGGTAGAAGGCGTTCCGGTTCTGGGGCGTTGGAGGCGGTTCCTTCCATACACCAGTGCTCGAGAGGTCCACCCACCAATGACGTTCGAGGACGCCATGGGAGCCACACCCCCCAACCATCATGTTCGCTATCATGATCGTCTACAGGTGGAAATGGCTTTGGTAATGAAATTAGAGCACTGAAAAGAGCGCTCCATTCTGACAGCATGCTGATTGCTGGCAAAACCTCTTTAGTGGCGACGAATCACCTCCAAACGCTCCAGCTGCCTCTATCGCGGCCTCTTCCTTCGATCTAAAAACACCCTCGTTTACAATTGTAAAATACTTCACACTTCAAGCAAAGTTTTCAGATGACAGCTCATTCACATTGCGCGGCCGAGAGGATTCAGTGGGGCTGAGCATGAGTCCTCAACTAAACTCACGCGATCCATCAATCACCTTCGCCTGTTCCACATTGGGACGATGTCAGTGATTACCATTTTCTCTAAGTTTTTGTGTTGTCTTCCTTCAGTGCCTTTCAGTAAGTGCTCTTAGATGATCAGGATGTTGCAGCTACTTCTCCGGACACCCTTTCAAATGCCACGCCAACCGGTCGAGCACCTCTTGCTATGCCAGAGGAGCTGACTGGTAGCACGTCGACGAGTATTCTCAGCTCCAGTGTCTCCCCCGAACGAGACGCCGTTCCGGTATGGATTAATAAGGCAGTTTAGCATTTCACTGTATGCCTTCGGTTAGGTTGCACTGGCCAGCGACCATAAAAGGTTACAGGAATAGTTCAGAGCACCAGTTACTCACTACACTGTCCCACCTTACGGGCACGCCAGCAATCCTATTCACCTAGAACTGGAGAGAAAGGAAGTCAAAGAAATCAGTGACCACCCATTCAACGTCTTCAACTTTGGCGAATTTTTTCTTAGCTAGGAATGGTTTAGAGCAACAGTCCAGACAGGGTTTCAACCACTTGGTCATTAGGCGGTGAAAACATGCCCCAGCCCAACTAAAGTTCATAGGAGATGTCACTGAGTTCAAAACCTACCTCTGAAATGCGCTGGAAGGGATCGAAATTCACTCGAAGGGGGCGGTTCGCTCATTCCAGGGCGGATCGTTCAACATACGCTGTACAGAGTCCATGCTTGATTAGCGGTCGTTGCGGGACCGCCGCGACCATTTGAGGCCTATCCTTTGAAAATTCGATGCGAATGTATTTGATTTTCAATGTGTCGCCTTCGTTCAAGGTTACTTTCAGCGTGCGCTTCCAATTACAATTGCTCAATCAGCCAGTATTTTGCAAGCAATCGCTTGAAGACGCATTACTGCGAGCAGATTTGGACAACTCGTACAACACACGTCCTCCCCATGGCTGGACGGCAGAGGGGTGCCCTGTCTAAGCCCCAGTTTAGGGCTTTCCTCGCTTTTCTTTTTCTATTCGCCACCTTTTCACCTACAACTTCAATATAGGTGCTTTTAGCCCGCAATTTGTTCCTGGATTGTTGCTTTAACACGTTAACGACAGGCTGACGCGCAGCGCTTCAGACATTTCGCGCGGTATTGGACCTTCTGACGCGCATGCGCGTCAGCGTATTTAGTACCCATTTCTTACAGCACCTGTCCTACTCATTCCAAAATTCTTTATTACTTTTATTCAGACAATACATCATCATGCCTGTAGACGGTGTGGTCCCATGAAGCGGTTGAATATGCTTTAGTTGAGCGAAGGTTTTCTGAGCCTTACCAAATTTTCCGTTTAGTTGTATCTTCGACTACTATTTTGGAATTAACAAGCACAAAAACAAAACATAAATGCAAACAACAATGCGATACATAATACCAAGGAACTACGGTTCTATGGATGAGATGACCTGTGTTTTTCATTTGAGCAGTCTATACAAAGAATTTTCTACATCTCCCACAGCGCGCTTTAACCCTTTTGTTTTGTTGAGCCGCAAAGCGATTCTTCTCTTTAGAATTAGTTGCATAACGTTCTAAACACCTTCTTCTCACAATTCCTTTCGAACTTTTACATTATTCTTCTGACATGCGTCACGTGGGAAGCAAGTGACTTAGGACGAATTCGTGCTCAACGTTCAGCTGTGCTTCGACCACTTTCTTAGAGTCATTTATTCGACGAGATGGTGTGAGCATGCACATTTCAGCTTTAAACGCATGTCATTCAAATCGACCGCCCCTCCTCTCTCCCCATCTTCCGAATCGGCTGTACTCCCCGAGACCCATGGATTCCTTATTCTGCATTGATGTCATCATTAGTATTTCGCTGAGGGTAGAGACAAGCAGTGCGCGTCTCTACCGGAAGCCCCCTTCTCCCCATCAGCATTGTGCCCTTGTTTTGCCACTTTTCAGTTTTGTTCCGAAAAACGCACGTCGTGGGACAAGCTGACGCGCTTGCGCGTCAGGCGAATCACGCCCGCCAAACTGCCCACGTCCCATGCGGCGGAAAAAGCCAAAACCTGCGCTATCGTCAACGTGTTAAGGGAGCGAAGCAAGTGTCAGGGGAAGGACTCTGCTCTTTCCTTCGCTCGCATCTTATTTTCGATTTTCATAGGACATGTATCAATATGTTCGATACCCGCCCCCCCCCCCCCAAACTTTGCCTATTAGCGTCTGAAGTTCGCGAAACTTTCTCCTCTTTCTCTTCAATATGAGAATGATGAGCATGAGGGTGTTGGCTTTCACGTTATCATTGGACTAACGGCGATCTCGTGTGACCAATAGCAGGCAGGCGCGTTTCACTTTCCGCTAGCCCATTGGGCCTGCGACTGTCTACTTCGGACCAGCGTAGTTATTTAGAAGAGTTATGTGATTTTCATGTCACTCCCTTTTTTCTGCAATTTCTACTGTGTCCAGGCAGTTACCTATAAACTTTCCTGTTTCATCTTCGAAATATTATTTTGTACTGAGCTTTTTTTCAGCGATTGATTTCCTCGAACAACAGCGCCGCTAACTCTTCGACACCACAAGCGGTGAGTGTGACGAATCAGAATTATTTTTTTCTCGATTTAATCACTAATGCGCAAATGAGGCGTGTACGATTTCCCGAGGAAGGCTTCAATTGATGGTTCACCTCTGATCTATTTCCCTATCTCACAGCTTCGCCTCATCGCTACCCCTTGATCCGCTTGAGACAACTGAAATTCAGTGTGTATTTCTTATGTAAATGTTTTCTGCAGGATGACGATCGACTGGATCCGAACGATCGTTCCAGCACTGATTTTTCTCTTTCGACTCTGACTGTGAACTACTCCGATGGACCTCCGTCGCCAGATTCGTCAAGGAGTAAAATTTTTAACACACTCTGTTCAAATGTAAGTTATCATCATTCATTTCTCACTTACGTAAAATCCTGCTTGAATGTTGGACTTGTGGTGAAAGTGGCTCATTCAGGCTGAATTGGGTGACAAATTGGCGCTATCAAAGCAGTTTCCGCTTTCACCTTCCGCCACAGGTTGGTTTTAGCGCGTTACCAATTTTTATTGCTTTCACAAACTTTATGAGCTAAAAGAAGATTTTACAGTAAGGACGAAGGTCGAAAAAGGGGAGTCACCCAGTAGAGAGATCCGGAACTTCCAAGGGTGCGGACCGACACGCTAATTGCGTCGAAGGACATGCCCTGGCGATCTAGCATGTCCTTCCCCGCGGCGCCATTGGCGCGTTACGGTGCGCTCCCCCCCCCCCCATTCCCTCTCGTCATTTCTTGTTTTAGCCTATAGCTGTTTGGCAAAGAGCATTAGCGTTGATGAAAGCTGCATCGATGAGAGTCGCATCAATGCGGAACTCGACGCGCAAGGAAGGAGTCCCATCTCTCGGGTTCTAAGCCATTTTTCTCAGTTTCTTCTTATTTCATGCATTACTGACCATCAATACTTGATTTCTAATGTGCAGCCCTTCCATTGCAGAGTTCTCCTTTAATTCATGTTGAGATCACTACCGATAAGAAGTGCTCAAACTGAGAGACAGTTTTCGGGTAAATACTTTCAAAACGAAAATCATTCCCACAGCGAGACAGCCCTTGTAGCGACTCGGTGCTGTTTTGACTGGCAACTTTGCCTTCATCTGTTTCATTCACTAATCGCTCACAGAAGTCTACGTAATCGGTCGCGTATTCGAGGCGCGCGGTAGCGAGACAGTTTTTTCACATTGAAATCAGCATGCTTGAAGTAAGAGTCCCAGCAGGGTTTTCACATTCGACACTAATGGTGTGGAGCGATACACTAGCCCTAGGCAAAAATAGGAAGTGGGGCTGAACAAAAAGCCCACCCTGGAAAGCCGCTAGAAAGGGAGCTGCTCCCGAGTGGGCGTTGTTGAAACGGCTGAGGCGACTGCACAACGCCGAATCGCTGGGATTGTTGCTTTAAGCATTTGTCCATGGTGTTGATTTATTGATCATTCCACAAATAAATGCATTTAAGTTTGAAACCAAAGCAGATACATCCGCTTCGCGATGACTTGTGCAACGATCCACAAAGTAAAGAATGAAGGATTAATTTTCTTCAGAATGCAGTAGCGGCACGATGGCATCGTCATGCTCGCTGCCTATGGTTTCACAAATATCGACCACTCCCCCGTCAGATTCGTCTTTTTATAAACTATACCACCAAAACAGGTACCGCACCTTACTTGATCTTCGCTCATAGTGAAATGTGGCAAATGTTATGTATTCAGCGCTTCCAGCGCCGAGACAAGTCCTCCAGCCGGCGTTAAAATGCGGCCTCAATGGGAGTCGGCAACAATTCGAGCATTAGAAAGACAATCCAGCAAAGGCAGCGAGAATCAGTCTATAAATGAGCTAGACGAGTGGAAGAAGGTGAGATTTCTGTACAGAGAGCCGGCGCATTCAAGGCACACTCCATGATGAGTTCAAGCGGACCATTCCTCCCAGTAAATAGGATAAACATCTTCGTCGAAGAGGCCATTCCGTATGGCATTCTCTATAGGCTCGCAAGCGCTACGAGGGCCTCGCAACACTGCTTCAACCGCTTCCGCTGTCTCGTGCTCCCAGCATGCAGATATCCTCACACTCTCATCCGTTTTGCTTTCTCTAAGCCCTCTCCTCCGCGCCCAGTGTCTCGATGCCTTCGCGCAACCAAGTATAAGGAAGCATTTGATTCTAGCACTTGTGAGAGATTCCTTTCCTTTTTCTTCCTTGTTGCCCTACATGTTTTCATTCAAGCGAGCCTATCTTTAGAGGGTAGTGTTTCGGGAAGATTCCAGCAACTTCAATAAAGTTTCAATCTCATGCTTACCACGGCAAGACACAGGAGAGTAACAATCATGCAAGCTGTACGGTGTGTATAAATAGTCGAACAGCAACTTTCCTCAAAAACTGTGAGGAATATGAAGGGGTGTCTATTGAATCTGCTACTATTCAATGAAGACAGCCTGTTGCAAGATACAAATCTCATGTTTTATGACGCTTCCTTCAGACTTCCAGAATAACAACTTTGAGGCAATTTATAATCATTAAAATTGAAAACTCATACGTGCGCAGGAACTAGTAAAAGTGTGATTGTTTTCAAACGAACATTTTTCTCAATCTTGCCAGCAAAATGAAGACCATTCTTATTCTATTCGTATTGGTTATTCTTGTAATCCTCGTGAAGTACGGGTCCCATGGTAGTGATTTCTCTTAAAGGCAAAAGTCGGGCTCAATAAGGGGGTATTATGGCGATTGAAACTGAGTATAGAGATGTGAAGTAAAACGACAGTGGAGAAAAAACTGAGAAAAACCGTCGACAAGTTCGTTAACAAAACCCTCTTTCCCACTAGCAGTGACTGGGAAAGAGTGCTGGCTTGGGAAAGAGGCACGTACATACAAGTTTTCTGAAGATATCAGCCGTTCTATCGATTGATACGGCAATCAGACCTTCAGCTGATTCACACGTTATGTCAGCCACGCACGTTACGCCAGCCACGCACGTTGCCCGTTACTTCCGGAGGTGGGCAGTTCCGGATTGAGGAGGCGGTCCCGGATTGAAACCGACGGCCCCGTGGGCCTAAGGACGTTTTTCAAGGTGGGACGTTGCTGCAATTTGTGCAGCTACTCACGTACAACCTCCGGGCACGGGACTTACTCCTCTAGCGCGGCTGAGCCCAACCTTTGCCTTTAAAAAGTGTTTTACATATTTAAACTCCTTAGCAAAGCGACGCTACGACTACCTCACGTGGTCAAATGCACCGTGTTTTGTAAGTAGCAACGCTGTGCAATGTTGTCGCATGAGGCTAGCGGTAAACTTGCGCGATAACAAAGCCATGAAAACGGGATCACGGAAACGCAAACGCAAACATTATACGAGTTTTTAGTCTTGTACAGTATAAGACGAAGAGTAGTTGCGAATAATTTAGATTGACGACATTTTGTCGTCCTTTGGCGGAGCAGTGTGTCGCGAGTCGGTGTTCGCAGCCAACTACGAGCCTCAAGTCGCTGTTTTCCTTCGGGATCGTCGATCTCAGGCTCTCACACTCCAGCTCACATCACCACCATCGGCCACTCGTCTTAGTTCCAGCACTGCGTCATCCTCGTCCTACAAATTTGATCCTGTATGTGATTGCCATTCAGCCCATTGTGTTCGCTGTTAGGGTGATTTGTTTTCTTTTCAGGATTGCATAAACATGAGCCATTGGTTGTGCACAGCTGTGGGCCTACCAAATCAAAAGGCTAATGAAGTAGGTCGAGTACTCACGAAAGCCGGTTTCGACAAAACTACGCAATTGGTGCGTTTGATACTGATTTCTAACCAGATCACTTTTTCAGTTTATTTTAATTTGCAACTACTATTTAAAAAGTCGCATAACATGATATGAAAGAAAAATTAATCAACAAAAAGATAAGCAGAAATACTAAGCGCTAGCTAGTGATTTTTTACGTCTCGCAGATGATTTGGTGTGTAGGATAGAGTTGTTCACGGAGGTCGCAGAGGTCGCCATCTTCCAGCTTCAAAATACGTAACAAGGGCGCAGAAGCTTGAAAAGACTGCTTCAACCGCTTCACTTTTTTCTCGTCTGCAACATGCTGCTGCCTTGCGCTCTCTTATCTTTTGTGATCTCTCACATATCTTCTCTTCTCCATGTTCCGTCTCTCATTGACTAACAATAAGCGCAACTGAGCCGAGTATTTGACCGATCCCCTTAACTTTAGCGTTTTGTCGGATTCTTCTTTTTTCTTCATTGCCGATCCCCCCCCACACCAATACTTTTTCTCAAGCGGAAACGACGCCTAGGGTGTGTCTGAAGACATCGTTGTGGGCCAATAGGATATTTCGACTTCCTATTAGAAACAAATTTTATTAGGATTCATCGTCCTTTGATTTGTATTCCACACAATAACTTCTTTTTTTTATTTTCTCGATCTTACCACTTTACATTGCACTGTATCTTTTTCAGGAAGGTTGTCTCACAGCTAGAGAGTTAGCTGCTCTAGGAATCGAGAAATCCATTCAGCAACAGATTTTGTCCCATCTGGCTACTGTCAGCACTACTCGACCTAACGCTAGTAAGTCTTCAATTGAAAACAAAAGCTGATTGGCCACCCTCTTTTCAAGATTTCTAGTGCTAAAGCAATATGGAATTTATTTATCAGTTTTGGTTACAGATAGCTTCAATTATGTGTCTGACTGGTTATGTTCGCTCGAGTTAACTGACTATCTCGGAAACTTTGTGACAGCTGGTTTGAAGTCGATGCTGATTGTTAGGACGGCAGACCTTACTAGGGATCATTTGGAGGTAACCCATTTCTTATGCATTACATTTTTTATACATTTTTTATGATTTGAACTAATTATTTCATCTAATTACTCAGAAGAATCGTGCGTAATGACGTGTATTTCTTTCGCGTTCACGTGCGTCTCGTGTACGATCTGCTGTAGCAGCATGAAAATGCCATGCACGAGAATTGACTTTTCAAAAGTAGGGACATCTTCGAATTACGCCTTGTGAGCTATTCACCAACACCTGCGCGGAGCCCTGGTGGTCCATGTAACAACTGCAGTGACAAACCGTTTAAAATATATTCTTACCATACAACAGTGAAAATGATTCCTAGAGGAACTCCATGGAAAAACAAATTCTGTGTCAACATTTACAGCAAGTCTAGTGTGGGAAATCGAATGAAAAATAATTTCCTTAATTTTTTAGATTGCTTACCATTTTTCTTCATTTCATTCTTGTGGCGAAGGGAGACAGGGATAGCCGAGTGATTAAGAGGTTAGACTCATGTCTGCATTTCTGAAAAATCGCGAGCTCGATCCCTGCCGAGGCTCTAAACCATGCCTTGCAAAAATTGCAAAAATGGTTCTAGTACCAGCGTCAGGCCCAGGTTGACAGGCCGGCTGATGAACACCCCAGTCACACCAACTATGTCTAAAAGTCGCAAAAGAATCAGTGTTAATGCTAGGACGTCACCCGGAAGTGGCGCGCAGAACCCCCGCCCGAGTTCTGTGGTCAGTGTCCGAGGGCTACCGAGAAGGGAACAGCCTCGGCCAAAGAAGCTAGTTCGAATTGGAACTGTGAACGTAGGGTCGCTATCTGGAAGGTCCCGAGAGGTTGCTGATCTGATGATGCGCAGGAATATCCAAGTCCTGTGCCTTCAGGAGACGCGATGGAAAGGCGCTAAGGCCGGAGAAATCGGGGAAGGTGTCAAGCTCTACTACAATGGAGAAGATACTAAGCGGAACGGCGTGGCCATAGCGGTAGCGGAGTCGCTCAAAGACTATGTCTCCGCAGTGAACAGGATCAGCGATCGCATCATGGTTGTGAGGATATACACGAAGGAGGGATACTGGACCATACTCTCCGTGTATGCACCGCAAGCCGGGAGCCCCGAAAGTGATAAGGACGAGTTCTATCTAAGCCTGGGAGCCATAAGGTCGTTCTCGGAAGGCGATTATCTGACCATAGCAGGTGACCTGAATGGCCACGTCGGCAGTGATAGAAAAGGCCTAGAGAGGGTGCACGGAGGTAGAGGGATAGGATCGAGGACGCTGAGGGAGAGAGGGTTCTGGACCTGGCTACGGCCGACGACTTGGCAGTCTGCAGCACGTTCTTCGCAAAAAGGAAGTCTCAAAAGGTAACCTACAGCAGTGGAGGGAGACAGACGGAAATTGACCATGTGCTGGTGAGAAGATCAACCCTCAAAACTGTGAAGGATATCAAAGCTCTACCCGGCGAAGACCTGGCTCCCCAGCACAGGCCCCCTCTGGCAGACATTGCGATAGAGCTCCCCAAGAAGACAAGGGTAAGACTGAGAGGAGAATCCGGTGGTGGAAGCTGCACCAAGCGGAGAAGGATGACTCCGGGCGAAAAATAGTGGAAGTCGGTCCCCAGATCCTAACGGGCCAATACAGCGGACTTGGAGCAGCATCGATCACTGATGACTTGCACCACCTCCAGTTCTCGGGCGTCAGCGCGATGAGCTGCTATTTTGCGCGACGCCTGACATGACCAGCTAATACGTTTCCGCCGACCACCCATACGTGGTTTGTTCCTGTTATTTTATTAGAACAGCATTGTGCAATTAGCGAATAATCGCTACTTGGTCAATGAAGCATTGGGAAGGAGCGGCTGGCTGTTATTTTTTGTCTGAAGGAGTGAAAGTAGCAGTAGCGGCATTGCTCAATAATCTTCTTGACTGCTCTTGACAACAGCCGTTTCAGAAAATGGGTATAACTCTACCAGGACATATAGCACGTATTCTCCACTCTCTGATGGAGGCCAAGATTGAGGAAGCGTGCCAGAGGAGTGAGCGCTTGCGAGAAATGCGACGAGCTGTAACATCTACTACGCCAACGTCAAGCATTCTCAAGGAAACGTCTTCTGAGGAAAGGTGAGAAGGCCAGGTTCTTAAAATGCTGAAGTTATTGGCAGCAATACTCAGCGATAATTAATGAAGAATACTACCATTAATTAAACTCTGTACTTTCAGCACGTCAGCCTTTGAATGCGCCGATATCGGTGGAAGCGAGGCAGTGAAACGTGACTTACTACATGGCCACGCCTCTTTCTCAGCACACTATCTTGGCAGTATGGAGATTTCTAATATCGATGGTACGGAGGAAAGTCGGCGAGCGATGGCTAGACTCAAGGTGGCCTTTTGATACATTTGTTAGCTGAACACCAAAATGGTCCATTTCTGAGTACAGCTTTATTTATTCCAACTTCGACAACACTATATAGATCTAGGGTGCACGATAGAGTCAAGTATACAGTTAGAGGCAGTGAACAAGAGAAGGAAGCTTCGAAGAGTTAATGGTGGAAGGACGTCCGGAGGTAGTCCAACCACACTCATTAGCTCACAGGAACCACGGTCGCACTGCTCTCAGTGCCCTTCCACCAATCATATCTAAGCCTCCCAAACCCTGGTTCACTGAGTTTAAGAAAGCTGGAATTGAAATGCTATGGGCACGATTTGGGACCATGTAGCGGGGTCCTTTGAAAACGCAAAGCTCCTTTCTCTACAACGGCCTTTTTTCTCATCATGCAGGCCCATATCAACTCGGCTTCAACGCACCACAAACGTGATGTCCTGGACAGAAGTACGCCGATGTGGCTCACTATTTGTTCTTACTTCGTCGACCATCCTGGGGATTGTAGCATTGAATTATATCAGGTTGTTAGGAAGGTAATACGGGTTCCGAGGTGCCATGCATATTTTAGGTATTTTAGGACAGAAATTTCTTGTTAGGTTTGAGGTCCTATATATTGTTGAGAAGTCAATTATATTTTCTTTCCTTCTGCTTATTTGAATTTCATTATGACTTACCGCCTTACGGTTTTTTGTAGTTCTGAATTGAAGGTGTTAAGGCAGTGGTTTGAGCAAATTTAGTTTAATGTGCTAAACTCTAGCGTAATGCTCCATAAACCTGTAGAAATGACACTGAAAGATGGGGCCAAGGAGGCACCAGTAAAACCAGTAGCACAGCGCTAGCTCCAAGATTTTGGTCGTTGAAAATTCCGCCATGAAGGTGAGGGGAGTCATGAGCAGGTTCTGCTGTTGACGACAGCCTCCTGGCGATTACCGTAGAAGATGATCCCGGAATAACTGTGCTATAGAAAGCATTACGACTATTGGTAAGTATATTGAAATATTGTAGCTCCTAAAGATAATTGTGGAGAGGAAAAGCTGAACAGATGGCTACCGCATGGGCTGACGGTGCAGCAGTGAAAACGTCTTTCTAATGTATCGTTTCCACCCATTTTACCCACCGTGAAGTACCAGTATTTGGAGTGCATTTTCATCTACGGTCTCTGCTGAAAAAATGGTCTACTCACGGCTAGCAGGCGATCTTCGATAGTTGGACAGCGAAGAGTCTTCTAAAATTTCTCTATAGCTAAAACTGTAGAAGATTGAAGGTAACCTGGGCATTTCGGGACTGATGCACAAGTTCTGGGGAAGCAGTTGAGTTTGACACAACACTAATAACTGTCTAACATACCGATGAGATGCTCCAGAAATACCAAGCTCGTCAACCGGGAGAAGTGAAACAACCTTCCTTCATGATTACACTCAGCCTCACGTCCTACAAACGGCATCGCAATGATTCAACAAACGAGCGTCGAAGCATAGCTCTACAGGACGTACTCACTGGACCTCTCTCCCACAATACTCCCTTTTCCAACCATCTTGATATTTTCATGAATAAGAAATGTATCAAAATTGAAATTGACCTGGAAACGAGGCTCGACGATATCATGCCAACAGAAGCGCCCATTTTCATGTGTGTGGGACAGTTGAGGATGCATGTTGTTGAGAAATATCTGTAGTTTCCTACAGATATTGTTTCGACAAAAAACGTTGGATTTGAATGGAAATATGCCACTTGAAAATGGAGGTCAAAAACCCGCATTACTTTCCAAACAACCTAATAGTGAGGAGGGTAAGGAGTTAATACGGTGCGTCGCGCCGCCACAACGCCATAGGCAACTCACTTTCGCAAAACCTCTCATAAATTTTTTCAGGCTCCGTCAAACACACTTTATGCAAAAGGCTTCGAATAGCAGCTTTTTGCAAAAGATCTCATAGATCGATTTATAATGTAACTCTTCCTTGTAGATGTTCTCGTACTTGTTCGTCGAGGTCTTTGAGCGGAATATACGTTTTGGGCCATTTTTTGGCCTTCGACATTCCTCATGCTCCATCCCTTGAAGGCGGAGTTCACGATGAAGTGGCAGCCCATAAGAAATAAGGGTAGAGGTGGCTACTAATGCACAGATTATGAAATAACCAAGAAAAACAGCTTAGAACCATTTTAAAATTAAAAACACAAAAATCCAATCCCGTACCTGGCTCTTGGATTGCCGTGTTCAAGCTAGTCTCATTGCCTTTGAAGTCACCAGTGCAAGCGTTCTGCTCTCCGTCTCTGCTAGAGCTGTAGCGTCTCCGGTTGAAGTCAGACGGGGGGGGGGGGGAATAGATCAGCGGCGCGGTCATCGCTGGTACGGTCTTGGTAGGCCGCTGGGGGCACACCCTTAGCTGCGAAACGGTCATCGTTCCGCACTGTTAGGCAAGACAGCGATTACGATAGGTTCAAGATGAGCCTAAAGGTGACGTAGTGGGGCTCAATGGTACGCCAGTGGTGAAAAAAAAACGAAGAAATCCGTCAAGAGAACAAAAAAGGGTCTCCTTTTTCTGGCTGCTGGTTTCCACTCATGAACAGGTAACAGCTCAGAGAGCGGACGTTCTAACGAATTCACCACATTGCGTTCGGTGATACTATGCCGAACTGCGCTGTAATCGAGTTGCTCCAGTTGTGCCCCTGCTGCAACGCAACTCACCCAAATCATCGAGTAAACTAGTGGTCGGAGCGCTTCCGAAGTCCTGCTCAGCAACCAGCACACCTTTCGTCGTGACAGAACCACACCCCGCTTCATTGGCAGCCAAGTAACCGTTTCGTGTGGTGCATATGCTTCTTCGATGCGCTCCCTCTTTATCGGAATCGTTGCTTTAAAAATCCGCCTGCCGTCCGACTAGGTAGATTTCACCTTTTTCGACCTCCGATCTCATCGTCGGATTCTTCTCTAAAGACGGATGGCTCAATAACCTTAAAATGGGGCCCTTCTGGCTAATGGCTAATGACAGCTAACTTCGATTTCTGCTTTAGACGAGCGAATGACCAACCTGGGCTCGCTTACACGTCTTAATCTCGATAGCCGGCATTATTCTATCAACATATCCTTTTAAATAACGCGAGCAAAACTTAAAAATGCGGCCACTTACTATATGACATTCCTTTTCGAAATGGAGAGCAAAATGATAACAATATCAGTATGACCAATCATAGCCTGAGTCTTCCACTTGGGAGCAGGGTCAACCGTCGCGGGACCAATTTAAAAATTTTACGACCCCCCTCTTGTCTCCATACGACCTCCCCCCCGCACTCATTATCTACACTGCTAAAGAAAAAGCTAACACGTGGGGGGGGGGAATAAGTGCAATCTACACAAAATCTAAAGACGTTTGGCTTGAATTCTAACACACTAACACAGTTAGCAGACGAGCTCTAGTTTGCTGATATCTGGTAATTCACTAATGCATAACATCACATAACGAACTACCTTCATTAGTTGTAAACAGTATTGCCCTTTAGTTCGAATGTCGCTTTTCCTGCCTTTCATGAATGGGCGTTCAGAATCACAAAAAAACTTCTATTTCGATGTGCAAGCGCATATCAAACGAGTGCATGGCGCATCTCAGAGCATGAGAGTATGCAGTAGAAGTGTTCGATCGGAGCACGGAAGCGTTGCGTTCGCATTTTCGCGCGCAATCTTCCCCTCGGCGCAGCGCGGGCAGCGAGAAACAGACTATTGAATTTCCAATAAGCGTAATTTTGTTCAATATCAATATTTCTTAAAACGCTGAGTAGATTTGTCATCCCGTTCCGGAAGGTAACTACGATTATGCCTCATCTTCAAAACTACGTCAGTTATGGGGAAGAGAACAAAGAATTTACAGAAATGCACACTTCCTCCTTTAAAAGGTCGTAACTTTCTTCAAAGAAGGAATTATGAGGAGCGGTGAGAAAAATTGGAAAAATCATACTGTTTCATTCCTAAATTGTGCTCAAGCTTGCGCAAAAACTCTTCCTTCAAAAAATTGCCCCTTGGACCGTTTTTTTTTTCGCAAGACCAGGTTTTTTGGCTTCTAATGGCTGTAACTTGATTCAATTCCACCTTCTGCGGTTCTTCTCCCCCTGGGTTGAAAAAGAAGGTTAGAGCTTTCTAACAAATACTTCAACTCTTCTCGAAGTCAAAGGTGTCAAAAAATCGCCTCGTTGGACCGTTTTTAGGAAATTGCGGACCGATTTTTTGCAGATCGCTGGTTTTTTGACTTTGAATTGTTATAACTTTCTTCATCTTGAACATTTTGCAGTTCTTGTTTCTCTGGATTGGAGTAGAAGATTAGAGCTTTCCGACGAGTCCTTTTTTCTTTCCAAAGTTGAAGGAGTTAAAAAATCGCCCCGTTGGACCGTCTTTTTTTTTCATGAATTTTCGGCGCTACTCTCCTGAAAACACGGGTTTTCAACACATACACTGACAACTCTCTTCAAACTCAACTTTATCGGTAATTATGTTACAGTAAAATCGCACGAGCTCTGTCCTTCATTACAGATGCTAAACCCATTTCAAGAGGTTGCCGACAGGCAAATATTTTTGTTCCCAGACTTTTCTCGTAGCCCTTTAGCAGTCAATCTACCAAAGAGGTCACTCTTTTATACCATAGGTCCAGTTTGAAGGCGTAGGTTCACCTCTAGAACTATATTTGTGTACGTGCGCAGTCAAATATGGATACTTTCGCAGTAGACTCTTCTGCTCTGATGTGCGCCATGCACTCGTTTGTGCTTAATAGTTGAAGCAACCCTCAAAAGTTCCACCTATCCCCTACTGCCTCGAGAACTACCGTCTTGGTTCTAATCGTTCGATGGTCCCAGCCGGAGCCAACAGCTGCGAGCTTCATCACAACACACATTAGGTTTCTTATAGCGAAAACCAGCTCTCGTCATCTACACCCAAAAACCTCTTCGTACTGCAGCGTTGACTCCTGCAAATACGACCCCCCTCTAGCGTCGGCCAAATACGATCCCCCCCCCCCGTTGGACTT